CATCAGGAGAGAATGCTTCTGGAAAATGGCCATACAGGCTGGAAAACACACAAGAACCCAATGATTCCAGCCCTGAAAACCTTCAATAATACATTGTCCTAATACCTGCTTGGCTGTTGTTGTGTGCCTTTGGATCATCTCTGAGTCATATTTCTGGGGCTGAGATTGTGCAACTTGCCCCAATGGGTTTCCATGGCTGAGCATGAATTCAAATCCTGATCTCTAGATTTGTAGCTATTGGAAGTGGAGATGTGGAAAGAAGAAGGGGAGTCCTTTTTCTGAAGACACGTGGATGGTCAAGGAGAGGTCCCCTATTATTTCCAGTGGCTTCCTCAGCATATCTGCCTCTAAAGCTTTTCCAAAAGTTTGGATACAGGATTCCCTGAGGAAATAGAGAAGTCCCGTGGATATTTTTCAGCCAGTTAATGCCCTAAGTTCTTGACCCACTTTGCCCCATTTGGAGGATCCCTGATGGAGAAGAAGGAGTCCGCTTTTTCTGATTGTTTAGCCGGAAAGATGGTTGTTGTGCCTCTGTTTTGACTCGTGCAGTGTTTGGGTAGTGAAAGCGAGAGAGAGGGATTTGGTGGGAAGGAGAGCAAGCCTCTTGAGCAATGTATTTGTGGGTAATATGTGTACACGTCCGTTAGGCGATCCAAAGCTCTGCCGAGAAATAAATGTATGACTATATTTGAAAAGAAAGAAGAATCTATATAATATATATTTTTAAAAACAGAACTTAGACGCTGTATACTCTTCTTGGGGTTGAGTCCCCTCTGTCCTGTAGCCTTTGTCTGTTTGGTGGCTGTAATAAAAAATATGTCTGTTTGGGTCTCCAAAGTTGTCTGCTTTCCGTCGAAGGATCGTTGTTGTCTTATTTGCTGGCAAGTCAACTTCAACTTCCATCCATGTTCAACATCTACACAAATGACCAGCCACTGCCAGAAGGGACAGAGAGTTTCATCTATGCTGATGATCGTGCCATTACCACTCAAGCAGGGAGCTTTGAGATGGTTGAACAGAAGCTCTCCGAAGCTCTAGGTGCTCTAACTGCCTATTACAGGGAAAACCAGCTGATCCCTAATCCATCTAAAACACAGACATGCGCCTTTCATCTCAAGAACAGAGAAGCATCCCGAGCTCTGAAGATCACCTGGGAAGGAATCCCACTGGAGCATTGCAGCGCACCCAAATACCTGGGAGTCACTCTGGACCGTGCTCTGACCTACAAGAAGCACTGCCTGAACATCAAGCAAAAAGTGGGTGCTAGAAACAATATCATACGAAAGCTGACTGGCACAACCTGGGGATCACAACCAGATACAGTGAAGACATCTGCCCTTGCGCTGTGCTACTCTGCAGCTGAGTATGCATGCCCAGTGTGGAACACATCTCACCACACTAAAACAGTGGATGTGGCTCTTAATGAGACATGCCGCATTATCACGGGTGTCTGTGCCCTACACCACTGGAGAAATTACACTGCTTAGCCGGTATTGCACCACCTGACATCCGCCGGGAAGTAGCAGCCAATAGTGAAAGGACCAAGGCAGAGACATCTCCAGCTCATCCCGTTTGGGTATCAGCCAGCATGTCAACGACTTAAATCAAGACATAGTTTTCTAAGATCTACAGAGACACTCGCTGGAACACCTCAGCAAGCGAGAGTCCAAAAGTGGCAGGCTCAAACCCAGAACCTCAACCAATGGCTGATACCAAATGAGAGACTCCCCCCTGGGCACACAGAGGACTGGGCGACTTGGAAGGCGCTGAACAGACTGCGCTCTGGCACCATGAGATGCAGAGCCAACCTTCAGAAATGGGGCTACAAAGTGGAATCCACAACATGCGAGTGTGGAGAAGAGCAAACCACTGACCACCTGCTGCAATGCAACCTGAGCCCTGCCACATGCACAATGGAGGACCTTCTTGCAGCAACACCAGAGGCACTCCAAGTGGCCAGATACTGGTCAAAGGACATTTAATCAACTACCAAACTCACACATTTTGTATTTTCTCTGTTTGTTTGCTTTGTTCTGTTAGAAATGTAATATAATTGACTGGCTGCCCTGACACGAGAAATAAAATAAAAAAGCTTCAACTTAATGGCATTCGTAGGAAGAAGAGTCACCCATTGCCCTGCTCAGGTCTTGCAAAACAAGGCGGCTGTGGCCTTCTCAGTGGACTGCATCCACCTTGCTCTTTAACAGGTATTATCATGTAAGCATAAACCAGCTATTCTCAACCTTCCCAATGCTGCGACCCCTTAATACAGTTCCTCATGTTGTAGTGACCCCCAACCAGAATATATATAACCTTCCCCCCCTTTTTTTCTCTCCTTCTTTCCCTCCTTCCTTTGCTCCTTCTTTCCTTTATTCCTTCTGTTTTCTTCTTTCCTTCTCTCCTTCCTTTGCTTTTTGCTTCCACCCTTCCTTCTCTCTTTCCTTTCCCTTCCCTCCCTCTTCTCTCCTTCCTTTCCTCTTCCTTCCTTTCTTTCTTTCTTTCCTTCCTTTCTTTCTCTCCTTCCTTTTCTACCTCATTCCTTCCTTCCCCCCTTTTTCTTTTCCTACTACTTTCTCTCCTTCCTTCCTTCTCTACCTCTTTCCTTCCTTCCTTTGCTCTTTGCTTCCATGCTTCTTTCTTTCTTTCTTTCTTTCTTTCTTTCTTTCTTTCTTTCTTTCTCTCTTCCTTCCTCTCCCTCTTTCTTTTCTTTCCTTTCTTCTTCTTTCTTTTTTCTTTCTTCTTTTTCCTTCTTTCCTTCTCCTTCCTTTCCTTCCTCCTTCCTTCCTTCCTCCTTCCTTCCTTCCTTCCTTCCTTCCTTCCTTCCTCTTCTTCCTTCCTTCCCTCCTTCTTTCTTTCCTTCTTTCTTTCTTTCTTCCTTCTTTCTTCTTCCTCTTCTTTCTCCCCCTTCCTTCCTCCCTCTTCTTTCTTTTCTGTATGTCATTTAGCTGTTTTGGGTTTTTAAGTCCTTTCTGCTGTTTTGGGTTTTTTTTTTATGAGTGATGGTCACTTGTTGGTCTGTTAGGGGTATAGTGTCCAAATTTAGAGTCAATTCCCCCACTGGTTTTTGAGTTCTGTTAATCCCACAAACGAACATTAATTTTTTATTTATATAGATGTGTGTGTGTGTGTGTGTGTGTGTAATGTTCGTTTGTGGGATTAACATAACTCAGAAACCATTTGTCAAGTTGACACAAAATTTTGACACAATACACTTAACAATCCAACAAGTGTCCTTCACCCCTAAAAATATCAAAACAAAGCCCATCAGACCAGACTTAAAAACCCCCAAAATACACCATATATACATATATGCTCATATACAAATACACATGCACACATTCATACACACACACATATATATATATGAACAAGTTCACACAAATTTACATATATACACACATATACGCATGCACACATATGCACACATATATACATATACACATGCACACACACAAAGATATACACATACATACACACATATATATATACACACAAATAGACAAGCACACACATACATAAAATACATACACACATATAAACACACAAATACACAAATATGCGAACACACATATATACACAAATATATACACAGACTGGGCCACAGCAATGCGTGGCAGGGGACAGCGCAGATATATATATATATATATATATATTTATATATATATATATATATATATATTGTTCGTTTGTGGGATTAACATGTATAAAGATGCCTACTTTTTCCTTGTGCTTTATGCTTATATCCTATGAGCACCTGTTGCTGTGCAAGCATCCCTTCCTTCCGCAGATTTATTGAATCTTCTGTCATGTGCCTTCAACCAGGTGAGAGCCTGATTTCCGATATGGAACATTTGCGGTTAGCAGAACTCGCCAGGCATCCCTTGGTATCCACGGGTCTTCAAAAACTCAAAGTTTCAGCATCAGAACCACATTGAAAATGACTTGGTCCCTCATCCCATCAGCTTTCTGCATCATCCATTAATCACACTCATCCATAGAAACCAGAGATAGTATGCTCAGGATGATTCCGATTTTGGTATTTATTTACTTATGATAGAATCGATATGTCATTTTTACATTTGAGGATCTTATCTAGTTTCCTTCGTGGCATCCTTTCCAAATCTTAGCAATGCAAGATGGAACATTTACCTACACTATAATGCAAATTAAAACTTTCACTGCCATGGTCCAATGCTATGAGATTTTTTATTTATTTTTTTGTCGTGTCAGGAGTGACTTGAGAAACTGCTTCTGGTGTGAGACAATTGGCCGTCTGCAAGGATGTTGCTCAGGGGACACCCGGATGTTTTTGATGTTTCATTATCCATCCTTGTGGGAGGCTTCTCTCATGTCCCCGCATGAAGAGCTGGAGCTGATAGAGGGAGCTCATCCGTGCTCTCCCCGTGTGCTGTCACACGCTGGGCCTATAATAATTGTCTTTTGAACAGGACGTGCTCTTTGTGCCCAGCAGGAAGCCAGGGTGCCTTGGCTGAGAGGCCCTAAGGATTTTCCTATACAAAAGTCTTTAGATGCTTGGAAAGTTTAACAAAGTCCTTTATTATCGTTTAGATCTTCAACAATTTAAACAAACACTTCTCAGATCTTCAACAAGTCAAACAAATGCTTCTTAACTTGCCCAAATGGACAAGTAACTGGCTTTGTGAACTGTTTCGTTTCTTTTAAGAGGAAAATGCTTTTTAACCCCTCCCAGGCAATCTACTTTCTATGCTTGCTGGTGTGGGCTCCACTCCCGGCTCCAATTGCTTCTGGTTCCCCGAGTAGACCTACCAGCCAAGGCTTACTGGATTCTCCAGCTGGAGTTCTTTTGGATCTTTTCCACGAAAGATGTGGAGCTGTTTCCCCTGGATGCTTCTGTTTCCCCCGGATGCTGTGAGAAACGAAGCTTGTCTACAGATGGAGCTGATCCACGTCCTGTAGCTAAGCTTTCCACTATAAGACTGAACTAAAAATGGTTCCCTTTCCCTCCCAGAACCCTGGAAAAAGGGGCGGAACCAAAACTTAACAATGATAGACAGGTCATTGGCCCTATAATTGCAAACCAAGGGAAGCCACCTTACTGCAAAATGCATGGAACCTTGGAATATATGCAAACACTCAATAGAAAGAAAATGAAGCTGAAGCTCCTGGTACAGCCGTACCAGCACCCCGGATTCGAACCTGCAACCTGTCGGTCTTCAGTCCTGCCGGCACAGGGGTTTAACCCACTGCACCACCAGGGGCTCCTACTATGGGATTATGGGAGCTGTAGTTTCACAAGCCCTTATCTCCAAAGAGTGCTGGTGACCATACAAATCTCAGTATTTCATGGAATTAAGCTTTGGTGGCTAAAGTGGTGTCAAGCTATATTCGTTGTGCAGTGTAGATGCACCCAGAGATAAATGTCCCATATTAAATTTCACGTTGCTAAGTCTTGGAAGGGAAGACATGATAAGATCTTCAAATATGATATAGATCAGGCATGGGCAAACTTCAAACAGGTATAAACTGCCAATCCATTATGGTCAACAGATTAGTCAACGATTTAAGCCGGAATCATTTTGCCTTCCTTCACTTCCCAATAGAGAAAAGAGAGAAAAGTTGCAAGAGTCCTTCTGATGGAGTCTGTCGTGAATTATGTGCCAGGAGAAAGAGGATATTGGAAAAAAGGAGAGGTCTTCTGGTACTTTAAACATCAGGGACTGAATGATCCATGGAAGATTTCATTAATCCACTTGAAAGCCTTAGGAGACAGGAGAAAATGATGAAGTTAGGCAAGTGTTTGCAAGCATCCAGTAAAGTGAATCAGGAACACATTCAAAGCACATCACAGCATTCAGCCATGGCAGTTAAAGTGGTTTCAAACTATTGTCGAAGGCTTTCATGGCCAGAATCACTGGGTTGTTGTAGGTTTTTTCGGGCTATATGGCCATGGTCTGGAGGCATTCTCTCCTGACGTTTCGCCTGCATCTATGGCAAGCATCCTCACAGGTAGTGAGGTCTGCTGGAACTAGAAAAATGGGTTTATATATCTGTAGAATGAGCGGGGTGGGACAAAGAACTCTTATCCACTGGAGCTAGGTGGTCAGTTGAAACATTCACACCTAGCTCCAGCAGACAAGAGTCCTTTGTCTCACTCTGGTCATTCCTCAGATATATAAACCCTTTTCCCTAGTACCAATAGACCTCACTACCTCTGAGGATGCTTACCATAGATGCAGGCGAAACGTCAGGAAAGAATGCCTCTAGAACATGGCCATATGGTTTCAAACCGCCTTAATTCTACAGTGTAAATCAGGTATGGGCCAACTTTGACCCTCCAGGTGTTTTGGACTTGAACTCCCACAATTCCTAACAGCCTACTAGCTGTTAGGAATTGTGGGAGTTGAAGTCCAAAACACCTGGAGGGATGGCCAAGGAATACCAAAAACCCACTGCATTACATTATGAGTTTCTTTCCAAAATGAGATATGATTTGAGGACTCCGTGATGCTCACACGCATCCGTTTCACTATTGCACACTTACTTTTTGATCATGTGCTCATAGATCACTGCCGGGACGATAGTGAGAGTGATGATGTTGCCTGCATTGGTCAAAATATCTGTGACCTCCTTGTCCTTGAAGAAAAAGAAGAAAAGGAGATTTGTAAACAGGTCATGTAAATATCCAACTGAGATTCCTTACAGAATTTCAAAAATTCCAAAAAAAGTCAGAAAACGTTACACTTTAACTCTGCACCATTATAGCAACTTTGGAAAGATGCTTAGGGTGCATCTACACCAGGCGTGGGCAAACTTGGGCCCTCCAGATGCTTTGGACTCCAACACCCACCATTCCTAACAGCCTACCAACTGTTAGGAATGGTGGGAGTTTGAATCCAAAACACCTGGAGGGCCCAAATTTGCCCATGCCTCGTACCACTTCATCTGCCACAGATCAATTCTATGGAATCCTAGAGGTTGCAGTCTTAAAGGTTTTGAGGTTCCTTTTCCAAATAGTGCTGGTGCCTCAATCAAACTACAACTGCCTTGATTTTATAGCATTGAGCCATGGAAGTTAAAGTGGTGCCAAACCATGTTAATTTCACAGTGTAGATGTACCCTTAGAGACAAGCCACAGATGAGCCCATGAAGCATGACACATCAATGACACCCTTTAGGGACACAAATCTTTTTGCAACACAGTCATGAAGTTTTACTAGCAAACCATAACCTAAGATGCACCTGAAAACAGAAGATATTGGTTTGAAGGAAGGGAAGAAGGAAGGAAGGTATTTATTTATTTATTGTGTCAGGAGCAAACCAAACAGGCGTATTGCATTTTTATTTATTGATTGATTATTTACTTTATTTATATACCACTTTTCTCGGCCCTCAGGCGACTCAAAGCGGTGACAAACAAAACACAAAGTTTGCAAGGTTGGTAGTTGATTAGATGCCCTTTGACCAGTAGCTGGACACTTGGAGTGCCTCTGGTGTTACTATAGGAAGGTCCTCCATGGTGCATGTTGCAGGGCTCAGGGTGCATAGCAGCAGGTGGTCAGTAGTTGGCTCTTCTCCGCACTCGCATGTCGTGGATTCCACTTTGTGGCCCCATTTCTTGAGGTTGGCTCTGCATCTCGTGGTGCCAGAGCGCAGTCTGTTCAGCGCCTTCCAAGTCGCCCAGTCTTCTGTGTATCCAGGGGGGAGTCTCTCATTTGGTATCAGCCATTTGTTGAGGTTCTGGGTTTGAGCCTGCCACTTTTGGACTCTCGCTTGCTGGGGTGTTCCAGCAAGTGTCTCTGTAGATCTTAGAAAACTATTTCTTGATTTAAGTCATTGGTGTGCTGGCTGATACCCAAACAGGGGATGAGCTGGAGATGTCTCTGCCTTGGTCCTTTCACTATTGGCTGCTACTTCCCGGCGGATGTCAGGTGGTGCAATACCGGCTAAGCAGTGTAATTTCTCCAGTGGTGTAGGGCGCAGACACCCCGTGATAATGTGGCATGTCTCATTAAGAGCCACATCCACTGTTTTAGCGTGGTGAGATGTGTTCCACACTGGGCATGCGTACTCAGCAGCAGAGTAGCACAGCGCAAGGGAAGATGTCTTCACTGTGTCTGGTTGTGATCCCCAGGTTGTGCCAGTCAGCTTTCGTATGATATTGTTTCTAGCACCCACTTTTTGCTTGATGTTCAGGCAGTGCTTCTTGTAGGTCAGGGCACGGTCCAGAGTGACTCCCAGTATTTGGGTGCGCTGCAATTCTCCAGTGGGATACCTTCCATGAAGCATGATGCATCGACCACACCCTTTAGGGACATGCATCATTTTGCAACACAGTCATGAAGTTTTACTAGCAAACCATAAACTAAGATGCACCTGAAAACAAGACATTGGTTTGGAGGGAGGGAGGGAGGGAGGGAGGGAGGGAGGGAGGGAGGAAGGAAGGAAGGGAGGGAGGGAGGGAGGGAGGGAAGTCTTCATTGTTTATGCTCTGATCCTCACCTTCAGGCCGATGACGTTCTGCCCATTGACTTCACAGATGTAATGGTTGATGAGGAGTCCATTCCGGGCGGCAGAACTGCCTTTGACCAGCGACTTAATCTGTCCCTTTTTGACCACAAAGCCCACGTGGCCAGTGCTGTCCTTGTGCATCGTCACCGTCCGCTGGAAGGGTCTGCCAAAAACATTACAAAATCAGGGCTGAATTCAGTTTTAGGCATGCATTCTTTTGCAAAGCGCAAGGCCAGACAGAGCCTTTGCACCAAAGCCTGGACAATATGTTATTTACCTTTACTTTCCCCCCTCAAAACCAGGGCTGCATCTATACTGCACAATTAATACAGTTTAATACCACTTTAACTGGCATGGCTCCATGCTATGGGATCTTGGAATTTGTAGTTTGGTGAGGCACCTTCATTATTTGGAGATAAGGTGGAAGACCTTGCAAAATTACAACTCCTAAGATTCCACGTGGAGCCCCCAGTGATGCAGCGGGTTAAACCGCTAAGTTGCTAAACTTGCTGACCAAAAGGTCAGCGGCTTGAATCCAGGGAGTGAGATGAGCTCCCACTGTCAGCCCCAGCTTCTGCCAACCAAGCAGTTTGAAAACATGTCAATGTGAGTAGATCACTAAGTACTGCTTCGTTGAGAAAGTAGAATCATAGAGTTGGAAGAGACCTCATGGGCCATCTAGTCCAACCCCTTGCCAAGAAGCAGGAATATTGCATTCAAATCACCCCTGAAAGATGGCCATCCAGCCTCTGTTTAAAAGCTTCCAAAGAAGGAGCCTCCACCACACTCCGGGGCAGAGAGTTCCACTGCTGAACGGCTCCATGCATTCATGCCAGACTTCATGCATTCATGCCAGACACATGACCTTGGAAGTCTCTTTGGTTTAGAAATGGAGATGAGCATCACCCTAGACTTCTTATTTCTTGTATCTATGCATGCATGCATTCATTCATTTTTATCTTGCCTTCCTCACAATGTAGGAATTCAACCCTTCCCAACAGGCTCAAGCAAAAGCAAACTGCTGCAGCCTCTACTAATGCCGCTTTCATAAATTCTGCCATTGCAATCACGTTCTGATGTTGCACAGTTTACAATTGAAATGTCAGAGAGTATTCTAACATAGGCTTATGTGGAAGAAGGCTGGGAGCTGCAGTCCAACAAACATAGTAGGTTGCACAATGCAGGGAAATGCATAGAAGCATAAAGTTGGAAGAGAACCCCAGAGAAGGAGGCTCCACCACATGATCCCTTTAGGTTAGTGATGCCTGAATCCTCACCTGTCGCGAACCACCATGACGATCTTCTCTGGGGAGGCCTTCTTCAGCGCACGCTTGGCCTTCTCCGTGTTCCATCCAGCACAATCTTTCCCATCGATTTGTAGGATCTGGTCCCCAAAGCGCAGCCCCACCAGAGAAGCCGGGGAGTTGGCCTTCACCAGCTGCACAAACAAGCCCTGAACAAAAGAACAAAAGGCCTCAAAGGTACATCTACACCAGGCTTGGGCCAACTTCATGCCTCCCTCCAGGTGTTTTGGACTTCAACTCCCACAATTCCTAACAGTCTAAATTTCTGCTAACTATGGATTAAGACTCTGCACTGTTTTGGTTTGAGTTAACTGCTTGCCTTGAGAGTTGGCCCATGCCTGGTTTAGTCTGTATCTTCCAAACAAGCCAAACGTCAAAGCTCACCTTGTCAATGTTCCTCAGCTTCAGCCCTGTCTTCCCACGCTCATCCTTGCAAAGATGGACTTCCCTTAGTCCTGGCTTGATCTCCGCTCGGTGCATTCCCAGGTTGCTTCCAGTCACTGGAGCCACCATCATCCCTGGCCCAGAGGACGCCGGGACTGCCGCCTGCAAAAGAATATGGTGCATTTCGGAAGAGGCAAATTAGGGTGCATCTCCTCTGCGGAATGAATGCAGTTTGACACCACTTGTACTCCCATAGCTCAATGCAATGGAATCCTAGGAGCTGTAGTTTGGTGTGGAGAATGCTAAAGATCTTGTAGAACTAACTTTCAGGAGTCAAAGTGGTGTCAAATTGTATTGATCCAGCAGTGTAGATCGAGCTCTAAGGATCACCTGGGAAGGAATCCCACTGGAGCATTGCAGCGCACCCAAATACCTGGGAGTCACTCTGGACCATGCTCTTACCTACAAGAAGCATTGCCTGAACATCAAGCAAAAAGTGGGTGCTAGAAACAATATCATACGAAAGCTGACTGGCACAACCTGGGGATCACAACCAGACACAGTGAAGACATCTGCCCTTCTGCTGTGCTACTCTGCTGCTGAGTATGCATGCCCAGTGTGGAACACATCTCACCACACTAAAACAGTAGATGTGGCTCTTAATGAGACATGCCACATTATCAGGTGTCTGCGCCCTACACCACTGGAGAAATTACACTGTTTAGCTGGTATTGCACCACCTGACATCCGCCGAGGTGGCAGCCAATAGTGAAAGGACCAAGGCAGTGACATCTCCAGCTCATCCCTGTTTGGGTATCAGCCAGCACGTCAACGACTTAAATCAAGAAATAGTTTTCTAAGATCTACAGAGACACTCGCTGGAACACCTCAGCAAGCGAGAGTCCAAAAGTGGCAGGCTCAAACCCAGAACCTCAACTGATGGCTGAGAGACTCCCCGCTGGGCACACAGAAGACGGGGCGACTTGGAAGGTGCTGAACAGACTGCGCTCTGGCACCACGAGATGCAGAGCCAACCTTCAGAAATGGGGCCACAAAGTGCAATCCACGACATGTGAGTGTGGAGAAGAGCAAACCACTGACCACCTGCTGCAATACAACCTGAGCCCTGCCACATGCACAATGGAGGACGTTCTTGCGGCAACACCAGAGGCACTCCAAGTGGCCAGATACTGGTCAAAGGACATTTAATCAACTACTAAGTTTGCAAACTTTGTGGGTTTTTTTCTGTTTGTTTGTTTTGTTCTGTTAGAAATGTAATACTATGGTCTGGTTGTCTCTGACATGATAAATAAAATAAATAAATAAGCAGTGTAGATGCACCTCAGGAAAAGAGGCATTGAAAGTGGCTCTCTGAAACACTTACGCTGCTGCCCGCTGGGACGAGTCCCAAGTTCCTCTGAACTTCTTCACTAGAAAGCGAGAGGCCCATGTAGTCATTGAGCTCGGCAAGGTTTGGATACAAGATCGGTGGGTCTGGAAAGAGAGAGAGAAAAGGGTTTCAAGGACTCTGGAGCAATCATGGGCCAACTTCAGCCCTCCAGGTGTTTTGGACTTCCACAATTCCTAACAGTCTAAATCTCTGCTAACTACAGATGAAGACTCTGCACTGTTTTGGTTCGAGTTAACTGCTTGCCTTGAGAGTAATATAGTCCCATGGGCAGCTCTGGGAAGACGTGAAAGGAAGTAATAATGTACAGGTGTTTGTGTGTTTATTTGAACCCTTCACTGACAGAACTACTCTTATTTATTTATTTATTTATTTATTTATTTATTTATTTATTTCGTGTACTTCTACCCTGCCCTCTCAACCCCCGAGGGGGGACTTGGGGTGGCTTACAAAAGGCACAATTCGATGCCTACACAATAATACAGTTAACATATAAAACAGCAATTAAAACAGTTATAGCAATTAAAACAATCAATATATAACATAGTCAATAAACTAATCTCATGCTCAACGTTCGCCATTCAGAGTCCATAACTTCATTCCACTTTGTCCATTCTTATCAGTTGTCATAGTCCTTTATTTATCTGCCAGATTGCCCAAACGCCTGGTCCCAAATCCATGTTTTTAATTTCCTCCTAAAGGAAAGGAGGGATGTCGCTGATCTAATTTCCCTGGGGAGTGAATTCCATAGGTGAGGGGCCACCACCGAGAAGGCCCTGCTCCTCGTCACCGCCAATCTCACTTGTGATAGAGGTGGGGCCAAGAGCAGGGCCTCCCCAGAAGATCTTAGACTCTGAGGTGGGACGTAGAGGGAGATCCGTTCGGACAGATACACTGGGCCGGAACCGTATAGGGTTTTGTAGGTCAAAACCAGCACTTTGAATTGTGCTCGGAATTGGATCGGCAGCCAGTGGAGCTGACACAACAGAGGGGTGGTATGCTCCCTGTATGACGCTCCGGTGAGCAATCTGGCTGCCTCCCGCTGGACTAGTTGGAGTTTCCAAACAGTCTTCAAAGGCAACCCCATGTAGAGTGTGTTGCAGTAATCTAATCGGGATGTAACAAGAGCGTGGGCCACTCTTTCCTTCCAGCTCTTTGCAACTCCCAACAATATCTGGCTAGCTCAGGCATGGGCAAACTTCAGCCCTCCAGGTGTTTTGGACTTCAACTCTCACAATTCCTATCAGCCTAAATCTCTGCTAACTACAGACGAAGACTCTGCACTGTTTTGGTTCGAGTTAACTGCTTCCCTTGAGAGTCATATAGTCTCATGTTCAGCTCTGGGAGGATGTGAAAGGAAGTAATAATTTACATGTGTTTGTGTGTTTATTTGAACCCTTCACTGACAGAACTACTCTTTCCTTCCAGTTCTTTGCAACTCCCAACAATGTCTGGCTAGTGCAGGCATGGGCAAACTTCGGCCCTCCAGGTGTTTTGGACTTCAACTCCCACCATTCCTAACAGCCTACCGGCTGTTAGGAATGGTGGGAGTTGAAGTCCAAAACACCCGGAGGGCTGAAGTTTGCTCATGCCTGCACTAGAAGAATCCACTACAAATGCTGCCACATTTCAGGCTGACACAAGCCTCCTTGTTTTGACTTACGAGCTGCTGGCTTGGGAGTTTCTATCATCATGGGAGCTGATGGTGCGATCACAGCAGGGGTCGGTGCCGGAAGATTCTCCTTCGGAGCCACGAAATGCTGGCCCTGCAGTTACCAAAACAAAGCAAAACAAAGCGGATGCACTGTTCTGTTGATATGGCAGCCAATGGTGGGCATCAATGCCTGAGCTCTTGACCTCCAACAAAACATTTAACAAGGTCGCGATCCTGAGAGATCGCCAGTCTTTTTGGAAAAATGCTGAAAATTGTGCGATTTTTAAAACTTGTCAAGTAGAAAATTCTGTGTTAGATAGAAATGCATTGTGTGAAAAATACAGTTCTAATGGGCATGTGGTCAGAGTACAATCTACTAAAGTGTTAAGCAAGTGGAGATGTGGAATCTAGAGGGATGGCTGAGTTATGACCATGTGACAGGCATGACAAAAATTGCATCGTTATTTTTCTCGCCCATGTTATTGTGATCGTGTTTATTGTAATTTTATATTGCTATGTTGTCTTTTTGTCCCGTTGCGCTTGGGGGCTATTAGTCTTAATGAAGAAGGGATGGATGTGGCACCTTTCCCCCAAGGGATTGCTTCTTGCCCTCCTATAGGAAACTGGAACTCCCAAAAACCCAAAACGCTGTAAATAGCTCAAAATAGGTTTTATTTACCACAAAGTCATTTCTTCAAAGCAATGAGCTGGAAAACTTTAGACGGGTGAAGGAAAACATATGTTACAGTCTCAATCAGTCCTGGGTCCAAGGGGTTTGAAGCTGAGAAGCCTCACCAAGTTTCCTCCTTCCTCAATGGCTGTGAATGCCGGAGCAAACCACAACCCCAGTTCAGATGGCCTATGTTTTGAAGACTCAGGATCTTCCTCTGGTGCCAAAAGAACCAGCTTGAAGGTGCTTGGGATCTCCTCAATGTTATCCAGGACGATCTGGACATAAAGCATGAGTCTCAAGGGTAAAAAACCTCAGAACTGGTGCTAAGAGGTAACTTAAATCAGGGTCCTTTAGAATCAAGTCTTTTACTCACGTCCATGTGGTATGAACTCTGATGGCAGAATGAAGAAGGAAAAGGAAGCTCTCCCCTCCTGCAGGAAGAGGTGGAGCCAAACAGTACTGATTGACAGCTACAAGCAACCAATCCATACAACTATACATAAGCAGGGCAAAAAGGGGCAGGGTTAAGCATGATACAACAATTTAAGTCCCACAACTAACAGTTCTATACATAGGCGACGCCACTCGCACCGTCACACTTTTGTTTTATGTAATTGCGTTATTATTGTTTATTATTTGCTTTTTCAGTTTTGTTTTATTTCATGTAATTGTTGTTTTGGGCTTGGCCTCATGTAAGCCGCACTGAGTCCCCATCGGGGAGATGGAGCGGGTTACAAATAAAGATGATGATGATGATGATGATGATGATGATGATGATGATGATGATTATTATTATTATTATTATTATTATCGTTTGCTATGGTCCCTGTGAGTATATAAGGAAGTGGCAGGAATGTGCAGCTAATAATAATAATAATAATAATAATAATAATAATAATAATAATAATAGAAGATCACGCAGACAGACTATAAGCAGAGGCACAACACCGTTACTCAGATGATTCATTGGAACTTATGTCACAAATAGCATCTGCTTGAGACAAAGAACTTGTGGGATCACAAGCCTGAAAAAGTTACAGAAAATGAACATGTCAAGGTATTCTGGGACTTCCGAATTCAGATTGACAGAGTTTTGGAGGACAATACTCCTAAACTCACGATTCAAGTATGGATCATCAATGTTGCAACATCAGGTGGCATCAGGACTGAAGAGAAACAACTGGAAAAGCTGACACGATACAAGAATTTAAAGATCGAACTGAAAAGACTCTGGCACAAACCAGTAAAAGTGGTCCCAATGGTGATCTGTACACTGGGTGCAGTGCCTAAAGACCTTGGCCTGCACTTAAACACAATCAGCACTGAGAAAATTATCACCTGTCAGCTGTAAAAGGCCACCCTACTGGGATCTGCACACGTTATTCACCAATATATCACACAATCCTAGACACTTGGGAAGTGTCCAACGTGTGATCCAACCAGTATAGTGATGTTGTTTGCTGCGTACTAATCTTGTTGTGTTTCAAATAATAAACCTGCAAAGGTAGTGGGAAATGAACATGCAAAAATACTGTGGGACTTTCTAATCCAGACTGACAAAATTTTGGAACACAATATGCCAAACATCACGATTGGGTCAGCTGATGACCCAAAACACAGACTGTGCAAGGAAGGAAGCAGATGAAACCATGAATCATATCCTCAGCTGTCGCAAGAAAATTGCACAGACGGACTACAAACAGAGGCACAACTCTGTGGCCCAAATGATTCACTGGAACTTATGTCACAAGTACCACCTACCAGCAGCAAAGAATTGGTGGGATCATAAACCTGCAAAGGGAGTGGAAAATGGACTCACAAAAATACTGTGGGACTTTCGAATCCAGAGTGACAAAGTTTTGGAACACAATACACTAGACATCATGATTGTGGAAAAGAAAAAAGTTTGTATTATTGATGTTACCATACAGGGTGACAGTCGCTTTGAGGAAAAACAACAGGAAAAACTCAGCCGTTATCAGGACCTCAAACTCGAACTGCAAAGGGTCTGGCATCAACCAGTACAGGTGGTCCCAGTGATTATGGGCACACTGGGTGCCATGCCAAAAGATCTCAGCCGGCATTTGGAAACAATAAACATTGACCAAATCATGATCTGTCAACTGCAAATGGCCACCTTACTTGGATCTGCGTGTATCATTCGAAAACACATCACACAGTCTTAGACACTTGGGAAGTGTTCGACTTGTGATTTTGTGATACAAAATCCAGCATAGAGATCTCGTTTGCTGTGATATACTGTGCTTTTGTGTCAATAATAATAATAATAATAATAATAATAATAGCTGATGACCCAAAACACAGACTGTGCAAGAAAGGAAGCAGATGAAACCATGAATCATATCCTCAGCTGTCGCAAGAAAATTGCACAGACGGACCACAAACAGAGGCACAACTCTGTGGCCCAAATGATTCACGGGAACTTATGTCATAAGTACCACCTGCAAGTAGTAAAGAATTGGTGGGATCATTAACCTGCAAAGGGAGTGGAAAATGAACACAAAAAAATACTGTGGGACTTTCTAATCCTGACTGATAAAGTTTTGGAACACAATACACCAGACATCACGACTGTGGAAAAAGAAAAAAGTTTGGAGGGCGACTAAAATGATCAAGGGTCTGGAGAACAAGCCCTATGAGGAGCGGCTTAAGGAGCTGGGCATGTTTAGCCTGAAGAAGAGAAGGCTGAGAGGAGATATGATAGCCATGTATAAATATGTGAGAGGAAGCCACAGGGAGGAGGGAGCAAGCTTGTTTTCTGCTTCCCTGGAGACTAGGATGCAATGGAACAATGGCTTCAAACTACAAGAAAGGAGATTCCATCTGAACATGAGGAAGAACTTCCTGACTGTGAGAGCCGTTCAGCAGTGGAACTCTCTGCCCCGGAGTGTGGTGGAGGCTCCTTCTTTGGAAGCTTTAAACAGAGGCTGGATGGCCATCTGCCGGGGGTGCTTTGAATGCAGTTTTCCTGCTTCTTGGCAGGGGGTTGGACTGGATGGCCCATGAGGTCTCTTCCAACTCTTTGATTCTATGATTCTATACACGTAGTCAAACAAAATTATATAACAACATAAATCTAAACAAACATCCACATTTATTTACATCCTCTTTGCCCTGATCTCTTTGCCATGTGGTGCTCTTGCTATGATGCTCACTTTGCTATGTGGATCTGTTGCCATGATCCTTTGCCACGGTTCGTGTTGTCTTGGTGTGAATATATCTCCATAAATTCTGATAGAAAACTGGACCACTCTCACATCTACCATGTCAGACTACACAGAGAAGCCACTGAAATACACAAGCATGTAGACAACTTCAACAGAAAGGAGGAAACCATGAAAATGAACAAAATCTGGCTACCAGTATTAAAAAACACAACAGAAAGGAAACAAACAAGGACAACTAATCACCTCTCAACAAAAGATTGCTCCAGGCACTGCCGGGCAATCAAATGCTGAAAGCCAGAGCTTAAGTGCCCTATTGCGGTGAGTGGTAAACAAAGTCAGATGCTATAAATCTCTGCTAACTACAGATGAAGACTCTGCACTCTTTTGGTTTGGTTAACTGCTTGCCTTGAGAGGCATTTAGTCCCATGTGCAGCTCTGAGAGGATGTGAAAGGAAGTAATAATTAACAGGTGTTTGTGTGTTTATTTGAACCCTTCACTGACAGAACTACCCTTTGCAACTCCCAACAATGTCTGGCTAGCTCAGGAATGAGCAAGCTTGGGCCCTCCAGGTGTTTTGGACTTCAACTCCCACCATTCCTAACAGCCTACCGGCTGTTAGGAATGGTGGAAGTTGAAGTCCAAAACACCTGGAGGGCCCAAATTTGCCCATGCCTGGCATAGATGCACCTGAGAACAAAAGGAAGAGAAAGGACAGCGCTCACCTTGAGGACTTGGTCCACCTTCATGTCCTCCAGCGATGGGTACAAGGTGGCCATGGTTGCTGCTCTTGTCAAGATATACCTTTTGAAAACAAAGGGACAAGGTGAAAATTAGAAGAGTTAGAAGAGATCCCACGGCTATCCCCTTAAAGGGGGAAAAGGAAAGGGCCTGAGGCTGTTAGGAATTGTGGGAGTCCAAAACACCTGGAGGGCCAAAGTTTGCCTAGGCCTGGTCTACAATATCAATTGAGGCAAAAGTGGCTACCATAAACAATACTGAGGTTGCATCTGCACTGCAGAATTAATGCAGTTTGACAGTGTTTTAGACGTTATGGTTCAATGCTATGAAAATGTGGGAGCTGTAGTCTTCTCTGAAGTCAGGAGCGAAACTACAACTCCCAGGATTCGATATCATGGAGCCCATGGCTATGGTTCAAGTGGTGTCAATCTGTACTCATTCTACTGTGAAGATATAGTACACAATTGCCCAATATTGTTTTCCCCCGTGATCTCATAGGAATTAACTAACGCTGGCTAATTAATGCAATTTGGATCACGGGTTGTGAGCCTCGTCACTCTCTGCAACAGTACATAGATACCAGGCGTTGCATAACACAAAAGTATGACTCATAAGGAAGTATGCTCTTTCCAGTTTCCATGAGTGCCCCGGGAAAAACAAACCATGGATGTTAACCTTTGGAAAGTATGGGATTTGTAGCGTGAAGGTGCAAAAAGATTGTTGTGCATTGAACATTCGCACAAACTACTTCGTAATCACTAAAGCCCTTAAGACTTAGAAAATTATTGAAAGCACAAACTGAAATGGTAACTAATTCATCATTTGTTTAGCCACTTCATTATGAGCTGGATATTAATATATTAAGAACTAGCTGTGGCCAGTCTTCCCTCAAACTTTCTCTCCTTTCTTTCCTTCCTTCCTTCCTTCCTTCCTTCCTTCCTTCCTTCCTTCCTTCCTTCCTTCCTTCCTTCCTCTCTTTTTCCTCCTTCCCTTCCTCCCTGACCTCCCTCTTTCTCCCTCCCTCCTTCCTTCACACCCTTCCTTCCTTCCTTCCTTCCTTCCTTCTTTCACTTGTTTATTTCCTTCCTTCTCTACCTTTCTTCTTTCACTTGTTTATTTCCTTCCTTCTCTACCTTTCTTTCTTTCCTTCTCTCCTTCTTTCCCTCCTCCTCTCTTTCCTTCCTTCTCTACCTTTCTTTCTTTCCTTCTCTCCTTCTTTCCCTCCTCCTCTCTTTCCTTCCTTCTCTATCTTCCTTTCTTTCTTTCCTTCCCTCCTTCTTTCCCTCTTTCCTTCCTTCCTTCCTTCCTTCCTTCCTTCCTTCCTTCATTCCCTCTATCTCTCTTTCGTTCCTTCTCTCCTTCCTTCCCTCTTTCACTTTTTATTTCCTTCTCTCCTTCCTTCCTTCTCTACCTTTCTTTCTTCCCTTCCTTCTCTCCTTCTTTCTTTCTCTCCTTTCTTCCCTCCCTCTTTCCTTCCTTCCCTCTTCTTCTTTCCCTTCTTCATTCTTCCTTCTCTACCTGTTTCTTTTCTCTCTTCCTTTGCTCTTTAATTCCACCCTTCCTTGTTTCTTTTCTTCCTTCCCTCCCTCTTTCTCTCTTTTGTTCCTTCTCTCCTTCTTTCCCTCTTTCACTTTTTATTTCCTTCTCTCCTTCCTTCTTTCTCTGCCTTTCTTTCTTTCCTTCTCTCCTTCTCTCCTTCCTTCCCTCTTTTTCTTTCCCTTCTTCATTCTTCCTTCTCTGTTTCTTTTCTCGCTTCCTTTGCTCTTTGATTCCATCCTTCCTTATTTCTTTTCTTCCTTCCCTCCCTCTCTCTCTTTCGTTCCTTTTCTCCTTCTTTCCCTTTTTCATTCCTTCTCTCCTTCCTTCCTTCTCTACCTTTCTTTCTTCCTTCCTTCTCTCCTTCTCCTCTCTCCTTTCTTTCCTCTCTTTCCTTCCTTCCTCTTTTTCTTTCCCTTCTTTCTTCTTCTCTACTGTTTCTTTTCTCACTCCTTTGCTCTTTGATTCCATCCTTCCTTGTCTCTTTCCTTCCTTCCTCCCTCTCTCTCTTTCTTTTCTCTTTCCTTCCCTCTTTCTTTTTTTCCTTCTTCCTTCCTTCTCTCCTTTTCTTCTTCCTTTCTCTCCTTTTCCCCTCTTTCTCCTTCCCTCCTTCCTCTTTCTCTTTCGTTCCTTCTTTTCCATCCCTCTTTCACTTTTTTATTTCCTTCTCTCCTTCCTTCCTTCTCTGCCTTTCTTTCTTTCCTTCTCTCCTTCCCTCCTTCTTTCCCTCTTTCTCTTCCCTTCTTCCTTCCTTCCTTCCTTCCTTCCTTCCTTCCCCCTTTCTGTTACGTGTTTGTGTGTGCATATATGTGTGCATATATCTCTGTATATATTTGTGAATATGTGTATATATGTGTGTTTGTGTACATATGTGGTTATGTACATATGTATTTTTTTGGTTTTTTGGCTTTTTAAGTCTCTTTTGCTGTGTTTTTCAGTGTTGTTATGAGTGATGGTCACTCGTTGGCCTTATAGGTGTCTTGTGTCCAAATTTGGTGTCAATTTGTCCAGTAGTTTTTGAGTTATGTTAATCCCACAAACAAACAATACATTTTTATTTATATAGATGTCAAAGGAAGAATGGAACATGGATGTTTGATACCCCTTTCCTTACCATGTCTCTTTAGTTGGAACTTATAGTTTCACGATGTACTTTGAACTGTAGTAATCTCTTCTGAGCTATATCTCCCAAGATCCCCACCTTCAGACCACAAACACTTCTCTTGGGCTATCTTAAGAGTTATATATAGCCTTCGACAATTCATTGGGAGTTATAGTTTGGGAGAACGATAGCCTTTGATCAGAGGGCACAGCTACACAGTAGAATAAATGCCACTTGAACCTACTTTGACTGCAATGACACGATGCAATGGCATCATGGGAGTTGTAATATCGCAACTCTGTAGCCTTCTCTGCCACAGAGTGCTGGTGCCCCAACAAACTACAAATCCCAGAATCCCATAGCACTGAGCCCTGGCAGTTGAAGCAATGTCAAACTACATTAATTCACCAAAGAGGTTCACGTACTTCAACTCCCAATGGTCTGTGATTCTATGAGTCCGAGTGAAAAACATTGGAGAGTCAAAGGTTGAGATGCAGTACCATGGAGAGCTCTTGTTCCCTCCCTTAAATCACAGTGTTACCTGCAAGTATTCAGAACCCCTCGCCAAACTACAGATCCCAAGATGCCATACAATGGTGCTATGGCAGAAAAAGCCAAATCCAACTACTATAATGCTGCAGCGAGGGTGTATTTCTATGGAGAGACAGATCTAACTTGAGTTGGAATTTGCTTTTGCTTTCTTCCGACACTGAGAGAATATGACTTGTCTGAGTGGGGATTCGAACTCAATAAAGAGTTGTTGTTGTTGTTGTTGTTGTTGTTGTTGTTGTTGCCCTAACTTTTTCCCAAGGGGACCCAAGGCAGCTAACAACTACACAAAGAACTCAAAATCAAATATATCTCTGTGTGTGTGTATGTGTGTGTGTGTGTATGTATGTGTGTGTATATATGTGTGTGTGTGTGTTTGTTTGTTTGTTTGTTTGTGAGATTAACATAACTCAAAAACCACTGGATGAATTAACACTCCAACGAGTGTCCATCACCCATAAACACACACACACATGCACACACACAAAACCCCAGTGGAACACATTTAAAACCCCCAAAAATACACCATATATATATATACACATACTCATATACATATCAACATACATATATACACACAAATATGCATATAGACAAGCACACACATATACGCAATATGCATGTACACATATAAACACACAAATACACGAATATATACACACACACATATATATGTAAACACACATATATACACAAATATATACACACACATACACACACACATACAAAATACATATACACAGACTGGGCCACAGCAACGTGAGGCAGGGGATGGCTAGTATAAAATTAATAATAATGTAATGTTCAATGTATTCTCGAAGGCTTTCATGGCCAGAATCACTGGGTTGTTGTAGGTTTTTTCGGGCTATATGGCCATGGTCTAGAGGCATTTTCTTCTGACGTTTCGCCTGCATCTATGGTAAGCATCCTCAGAGGTAGTGGATGCTTGCCATAGATGCAGGCAAAATGTCAGGAGAGAATGCCTCCAGAACATGGCCATATAGCCTGAAAAAACCTACAACAACCCAATGTAATGTTTGTTTGTGGGATTAATATAACTCAAAAACCACTGGGAGAATTGACACCAAATTTGGACACAATACTCCTATCAGGCCAACAAGTGACCATCACTCATAAAAACACTGAAAAACACAGCAGAAGGGACTTAAAAAGCCAAAAAAATGATACATTATAACGCATGCGCAAAACCACGTATATACACAAGCACACATATATACACAAATACACATACACACAAAACACATATACACAGACTGGGCCACAGCAACGTGTGGCAGGGGATGGCTGGTCTATATAAATACAAATGTAATGTTCGTTTGTGGGATTAACATCACGCAAAAACCACCGGACAAATTGACACCAAATTTGGACACAAGACACCTCTCAGGCCAACAAGTGACCATCACTCATAAAAACACTGAAAAAAAGATGTAAAAAGCCAAATAATAAAAACTACAATACAATATATACACATATACACATACATACACACACAAAACCCATATACACAGATTGGGCCACAGCAATGCGTGGCAGGGGATGGCTAGATGCCTACCACAGATGCAGATGAAACTTCAGGAGAGAATGCTTTTAGAACATGGCCATACAGCCCAAAAAACCTACAACAACCCATATATATATAGAAAGAGAGAGACAGAGTGACTAGCCATCCCCTGCCATGCATACCACATATACACAGACTGGGCCACAGCAACACACGGCTGGGGACGGCTATATATTCAAAAGTTCTATGAAGAATGGTAGGCCATTCAATCAAGACACCTGTCAACTTAATGATGAAGACACAAATCTTATCAGATCTTCTTAAGATGCATCTTCACTGCAGAATGGACACTGTTTGACTTACCACTTTAGCTTCCATGGCTTAATACTATGGAATTGTGAGAGTTGTAGTTTGGTGAGGCTCCAAGACACTTTGACAGAGAATGCAGAAGACCTTTTGAAACTACAGCCCATGATTGCCTCGCATTGAGCCATGGCACTTCCAAGTTGTTTCAAACTGCATTATTTCTACAACCTCACCAAACTACAAGATGTGCTGAACCACAATAGATAAAGTGGGGTCAACTGCATTCAATAGACTGCAGTGTTTCTCAACCTGGGGGTCGCGATCCCCGGGAGGGTCGTGGGGGGATGTCAGAAGGGTCGCCAAAGACTATCAGAAAACGCACTGTTTTCTGTAGGTCATGCAGGGTTCTGTGTGGGAAGTTTGTCCCAATTCTATCATTGGTGGGGTTCTGAATGCTCTTTGATTGGAGATGAAGTAGACATCCCAGGAACTACAACTCCCTAATGTCAAGGTTGGTTTTCTCCAAACTCCACCAGTGTTCACATTTGGGCATATTGAGTACTTGTGCCAAGTTTTGCCCAGAACCATCATTGTTAGAGTCCACAGTGTTCTCTGGATGTCGGTGAACTACAACTCCAAAACTCAAGGTCAATGCCCACCAAACCCTTCCAAGATATTCTGTTGGTCATGGGGGTTCTGTATGCCAAGTTTGGTTCAATTCCATCATTGATGGAGTTCAGAATGCTCTTTGATTGTAGGTGAACTATAAATCCCAGCAACTACAACTCCCAAGTGTCAAGGTCTGTTTTCCCCAAACTCCACCTGTGTTTACACTTGGGACATATTGAGTAACTGTGCCAAGTTTGGTCCAGATCCATCATTGTTTGAGTCCACAGTGCTCTCTGGATGTAGGTGAACTACAACTCCAAAACTCAAGGTCAATGCCACCAAACCCTTCCAGTATTTTTTGTTGGTCATGAGGTCTCTGTGTGCTTGATTTTAATGTTGTGTATTTTATTGTCCATGTTTATTTTAATTGCTTGTATTGTTGTTATATTGCTTGTATTGTTGTATTTTGGGCTCGGCCTCATGTAGGCCGCACCGAGTCCCTTGGGGCGATAGTAGCGGGGTACAAATAAAGTGTTATCATCATCATCATCATCATCATCATCATCATCATCATCATCATCATCATTGTCTCTTTGATTGTGTGAACTATAAATCCCAGCAACTACAACTCCCAAATGTCAAGGTCTATTTTCCCCAAACTCCACCAGTGTTCACATTTGGGCATATTGAGTACTTGTGCCAAGTTTGGTCCAGATCCATCATTGTTTGAGTCCACAGTGCTCTCTGGATGTAGGTGAACTACAACTCCAAAACTCAAGGTCAATGCCCACCAGACCCTTCCAGTATTTTCTGTTGGTCATGGGGGTTCTGTGTGGGAAGTCTGGCCCAATTCTATCATTGGTGGGGTCCTGAATGCTCTTTGATTGGAGGTGAACTATAAATCCCAGCAACTACAACTCCCAAATGATAGCTTTCAGACAAGACCAGGAACAGACTTCCAAAGTCTGCCTGGGTTTTACATTGCAAGGAAGTAAACACAGATATTTTTTGGTATCCAATGCCTTGACATTCTGTCCAACCCCACCCTCCAGGTGAGTCGAGAGAAGCACTTACCTGTCTGACGTTTCTGGAAAGGAAAGGCTTCTGCCGTTGACTTTTGCCCTCTTTCGACTTTATGGCGGGGAGGAGAATGAGAAGGAAGTGAAAAGACCAAAGCAAACCAGAAGTGGAGGAGGAACACACCTGGCTGACGTCAGGAGGTGGTTCCTGGCTCAGGTGTGGCTTACCTGTGCAAGAGCAAAGCATAGAGGTTGCCCATGGCTACATCTACACTGGAGAATTGATGCAACTGCTATAGAATCCTGAGAGTTGTGGTTCAGTGAGGCAACAACAATCTTTGGGAGGGAAGGCCAGAGACCTTGTAGAACTATAACTCCCAGGATTCTAGATGAGAAATAAGATGGAATTTGTAGTGCTGGGAGATACTAGGCGAGACTCTTTGGGTGCATCTCTTTGGCAGAGAAGGACAGAGACCTTGTAGAACTACAACTCCCAGGATTCTAGATGAGAAATTAGAAGGAATGTATAGCGCTGGGAGATACTAGGCAAGACTCTTTGGGTGCATCTCTTTGGCAGAGAAGGACAGAGACCTTGTAGAACTACAACTCCCAGGATTCTAGATGAGAAATTAGAAGGAATGTATAGCGCTGGGAGATACTAGGCAAGACTCTTTGGGTGCATCTCTTTGGCAGAGAAGGACAGAGACCTTGTAGAACTACAACTCCCAGGATTCTAGATGAGAAATTAGAAGGAATGTATAGCGCTGGGAGATACTAGGCAAGACTCTTTGGGTGCATCTCTTTGGCAGAGAAGGACAGAGACCTTGTAGAACTACAACTCCCAGGATTCTAGATGAGAAATTAGAAGGAATGTATAGCGCTGGGAGATACTAGGCAAGACTCTTTGGGTGCATCTCTTTGGCAGAGAGGGCCTGAGACCTTGTGGAACTACAACTCCCAGGATTCTAGATAAAAATTAAGAAGGAATGTGTAGTGCTGGGAGATACTAGGAGAGACTCTTTGGGTGCAGAATCAATTGAGTTTGACACAACTTGAACTGCCCTGGCTCAATGCTATGGAATCATGGGAATTGTAGTTTGACAAGGGGTGCATCCACACCAGGCATGGGCAAACTTGGGCCCTCAAGGTGTTTTGGACTTTAACTCCCACAATTCCTAACAACTCCAAGGTCATGTGACTGACATGACTCCATGGAACGCCGTTACCTTCCTGCAGATGCGGTATCTATTGATCTACTCACATTTGCATATTTTCAAACTGCTAGGTTGGCAGAAGCTGGGGCTAACAGTGGGAGCTCACCCTACTCCCTGGATTCGAACCGCTGACCTTTCGGTCAGCAAGTTCAGCAGCTCAGCGGTTAACCCACTACACCATCAGGGGCCTCCATAAGTAGAAATAGGAGGACAAGCCACTAAAAACGGACAAAAACGGGCAACAGTAACCACACTGTCTGTAGCTTTAAACAATTCTTCCTCAGTACATGAGGCAAGGCATAGTGGGCAAGCATACAGATGCGGAGTTGTTGTGCTCCACAGACACTCAAGGTGTGGGATTCTTTTAGGTCGTGCCATCTTGGCAGGTTGTCTTTTGATCTGCCCACTCCACTTCTGAGTCTGTTCAGGGACTTCCAAGTTGCCCATTCTTGGTTTGCCAAATCACTGAAATGTTGTTTAATATGTGCTTTGGTTGTAGACTGTTATTTTTCCTTAGTTGGACTACAACTCCCATATGTATGTAAAAGCAGTGCTTGCAAAAGTGTTCAAACAGAGCTGGAGCTTGGAAAACTGAATTTCCAATGGGAGAAATGTTTTCATGTGTATATTAGCCTTGGGGGTTATCATCTGAACGTCAAATTCTGAGTAAGTGGATCCTTGTAGAAAGGCATTCATCATCCTCATCATCATCATCATACTATGTTAAATTTGTAACTGAAAGGTCACAGGTCTAAATCTTTCCCCAGGAGGAAAGGAGGAAGGAAAAAGAGGAAGGAAGGAAGGAAGGAAGGAAGGAAGGAAGGAAGGAAGGAAGGAAGGAAGGAAGGAAGGAAGGAAGGGTGAAATGGAATGGAGGGAGGGATGGAAGGGAGAAGGAAGGAAAAAGGAAGGAAGGAAGGAAGGAAGGAAGGAAGGAAGGAAGGAAGGAAGGAAGGAAGGAAGGAAGGAAGGAAGGAAGGAAGGAGAGGGGATGGAAGGGAGAAGGAAGGACATACAAAAGGAAGGGAAGGAGGGAAGGAAGGAAGGAAGGAAGGAAGGAAGGAAGGAAGGAAGGAAGGAAGGAAGGAAAGAAGGATGGATGGATGGATGGAAGGAAGGAAGGAAGGAAGGAAGGAAGGAAGGACGGGAATGGAGAGAGGGATGGAAGGGAGAAGGAAGGACATACAAAAGGAAGGAAAGGAAGGAAGGAAGGAAGGGAATGGAGGGAAGGATGGAAGGGAGAAAGAAGGACATACAAAAGGGAAGGAAGGAAGGAAGGAAGGAAGGAAGGAAGGAAGGAAGGAAGGAAGGAAGGAAGGAAGGAAGGAAGGAAGGAAGGAAGGAAGGAAGGAAGGGAAGGAGAGAAGGAAGGGAGGGATGGAAGGGAGAAGGAAGGACATACAAAAGGAAGGGAAGGAAGGAAGGAAGGAAGGAAGGAAGGAAGGAAGGAAGGAAGAGGAAAAGGAAGGAGGAGGAGGAAGGAAGGAAAGGAAGGAGAGAGGAAAAGGATGGAAGGGAATGGATGGAGGGATGGAAGGGAGGGATGAAAGAGAGAAGGAAGGAAAAACAAGGAAGGAAGGAAGGAAGGAAGGAAGGAAGGAAGGAAGGAAGGGAATGGAGGGAGGGATGGAAAGGAAAAGGAAGGAAATACAAAAGGGAAGGGAGGGAGGGAGGGAGGGAGGAAAGGATGGAAGGAAGGGTGGAAGCGAATGGAGGGAGGGATGGAAGGGAGAAGGAAGGAAATACAACAGGGAAGGAAGGAAGGAAGGAAGGAAGGAAGGAAGGAAGGAAGGAAGGAAGGAAGGAGGAAGGAAGAGGAGGGGAGGAAGGAGAAGGAAAGGAAATAAGAAAGGAAGGAAGAAGGGAAGGAAAGAGGGAGGGAGGAGGATGGATGGAAGGAAGGAAGGAAAGGAAGGAAGGAAGGAAGGAAGGAAGGAAGGAAGGAAGGAAGGAAGGAAGGAAGGAAGGAAGGAAGGAAGGAAGGAAGGAAGGGAGGGAGGAAGGAAGGAAGGAAGGGAAGGAAAGGAAGGAGGAGGGAGGAAGGAAGAAGGAAGGGAGGGAGGGAGGGAGGAAGAGAAGGATGGATGGATGGAAGGAAGGGAAAAATAAAGGAAAGAGAGAAGGAAGGAAATACAAAAGGGAAGGAAGGAAGGAAGGAAGGAAGGAAGGAAGGAAGGAAGGAAGGAAGGAGGAGGAAGTAAAGGGGAAAAGGTATGGGAGAAGGAAGAAAGAAAGAAGGGATGATGAGCGGAGAGGGAGAAGGAGGAAGGAAGGGTGGAAGCGAAGGGAGGGAGGGAGGGAGGGAGGGAAAAGGGAAGGAAGGAAGGAAGGAAGGAAGGAAGGAAGGAAGGAAGGAAGGAAGGAAGGAAGGAAGGAAGGGAGGGAGGGAGGGAGGGGAAGGGAATGGATGGAGGGATGGAAGGGAGGGATGGAAAGGAGAAGGAAGGAAATGCAACAGGGAAGGAAGGAAGGAAGGAAGGAAGGAAGGAAGGAAGGAAGGAAGGGTGGAAGGGAATGGAGGGAGGGATGGAAGGGAGAAGGAAGGAAATACAAAAAGGAAGGAAAGAAGGAAGGAAGGAAGGAAGGAAGGGAGGGAGGGAGGGAATGGAGGGAAGGATGGAAAGGAGAAGGAAGGAAAAAAAGGAAGGAAGGAAGGAAGGAAGGAAGGAAGGAAGGAAGGAGAAAGAGAGGAAAGGAGGGAGGGAGGAAAGAGGGAAGGAATGAAAGTTTTATATTTTACTAGCTGTACCCGCCATGCGTTGCTGTGGCCAATCTTCCCTCCCTCTTTCTCTCCTTTCTTTCTCTCCTTCCTTCCCTTTTTCTTTCCTTCTCTCCTTCCTTCTCTTCCTCTCCCCTTTTCTTTCCTTTCCTCTTTCTCCCCTTTCTTCTTCCTCTACCTATTCTTGGACTGCAACTCCCAGCGGTCCTCCTGATGGATCTATCTACCTACCTATCTATCTCTATCTAATCTGTCTTATCTATCTGGAGGGTTTCTGGGAGTTGCAGTCCAGGAATAGGAAATAGGAAATATGCAGGGATTGGGATGCTCTCAAATAAATCTGAGGAGAAGAAAGCTTGCAGCTTGGAAGCAATGCATTTGGGTCATCCTCCTCTCCTAAAAGGCCTGGTCTAGGGGATGCTGGGAGCTGTAGTCTGGAAGAGAGTGTGGATATGCTATTGTGTGTTTTGTTTGCCGGGGGGAGTTGTTTTTGCACATGCACTATAGCATTTTTTTGCTTTTGTGGCTTTTTAAATCCCTTCTGTTGTGTTTTTCAGTGTTTTCATGAGTGATGGTCACTCATTGGCCTTAGAGGTGTCTTGTGTCCAAATTTGGTGTCAATTCATCCAGTGGTTTTTGAGTTGTGTTAATCCCACAAACAAACATTACATTTTAATTTATATAGATAAGGAAGAGAGGGTGGAAGAGCGGGAGGAAAGAGAGAAGGAAGAAAAGGGAAAGAAGAAGCGAAGGGGAAATGGAGAGAGGAAAGGAGTGAGTAAAGAGGGAAGGAAGGAAGGATGAAAGGGTAGAAGGGAAGGATGGAAGGAGAAAGAGGGAGATAAGGAAGGGAGGGAGGGAAGGAGAAAAGAAGGAGAGAATGAAGGAAATATAGATGGTGAGAGAGAGGAGGGCTTGAGAAAAGAAACCAAGGGGCCACACCTGGGCCCCAAGCCTGGGTTTGCAGATACCTGACCTAGAATATTACAGGTATTTTTGTAGAATGTGTGCAGTTCCAAGAAGTACGAATAATAATAATAATAATAATAATAACAACAACAACAATAAGCTTCTGCCAACCTAACAGTTCGAAAACATGCAAATGTGAGTAGATGAATAGTTACCGCTGCGGCGGGAAGGTAATGGTACCTTGGAGGTGTCTATGGACAGCGCCAGCAATTCGGCTTAGAAATGGAGATGAGTACCACCCCCCAGAGTCGGGCACGACTAGACTAATAACAGGACTAGACTAATAATAA